TTAGCACTTGTCGAAGAGATACAAAATGTAAATTTGGTGTGCCAGTAATATCATATGCAATTTTTCAGGAATTGAGAACATGGTTGTCTACATTAAACTACCGTAACTCTGCAGTGGTGCTATCGTGCAGTATGATTGTACTATGGAGGCAAAGTGTTCGGAAACCCTTGAACACACATCATTACCCGCATTCATCTAGTTAAAGAAGTTAAAAAGGTGAGAGAGCGAGTGCACTTACTGTTTTGAGACGCACGTTCTAGGATTATTTTCTAGTATATATCGAAAGTGCTTGAAAGGTTGGCGTTGTCGTCTCAATCACTCTGAAGAGGTTGTACCTAAAGTTTCTTGAATTCTTCATTGAATGGTTTACATGCATCCTATACTTTTATTATTCAAATTAGCTTTTGGAGAGAGTTAAAGGGGAAGCTCTGTTGATACTGTATGCAAAGAAAGAGAATCAAATTTCTAGTATGTGTGTTATAACGTATGGCACTCAAACAGGACAATTTAAATGCGCTAGAATGCCTGCATTTTCTTCTAATTTTTCTAATCCAACTTTATCACAGTAGATGGCAGCCCTTAACGTCAGCTGCCTTTACCTGCATAAAGTTCTAATAACAGCTGATTGAACCCTTTACGACACTTTTTCAAAATCTCATTGCTAGCGGACAGCAGTCTCCAACATATGACCTGTTCATGAATTCCAGCAAATCGGCATCCTCATCTATCATGAAATCTCCCACAGTGCTTGAGAACATTTCCAGTACATATTCCATACAACGTCCATATCATGTGCTCGATGACCCAGAAAAGAGGCAAATTAAGATGAAGAGGAAATTGATTCATGCAAATCGTCTGTTCGCATGTATGGTTGGAACTGACTAGATCATGCAGACTTTCTAAAATAAATCTGTGATCCATCCTCAGAAAGAGTTCTGAAAAGGTAAATGGTAAAACGTTTAACGATGGACTCCTTCTTTAGCTTGAGTAAAATCCTAGAAGGATAGCAGGAATAGCGAAAAGTGCCAATTTCGTTCTTTATAGTGATTTTCTTAAAAAATGCGCCAGCTTTTGTTTGTGTAGAGTGGAATTGCGCAGGCCATGATGAATAATTTTTGCCTTTGATGATGTCAAATATTTTCTACAGAAAAGACGTTGACGCACCACATTGACGTCAAGATTTTTTTTCCAGTCGGAAACATAAAATAGGTTGTTCACTCGTAAAATAGCCAATCTAGAGATCTTGAGCACTAACAAACAAAATCACTTTACACTAAGTCCCCATCGGCATATCCGTGTCTCATGATAAGGTGCGCTATTTCGTGAGGTTAGCCAACTGGCGTGTGCGGAGTCATGCATGTGTTCTTCTCACCGCCTCGAAATATGGCTGGCTTGAGCTCGGACGAGCTTTTCCATCT